ATGGGTCTTAATGTTTTTGTGTTATTTTTCAACTTCATAACAAGTGTATCAGGAAATCAGAGCAAAGGTGAAGCCTCAGAGTCTTCAGCAATGCCCACTTGTGAACAATGGAAGGAACTTGTATACTTACCTGCACTATGTGGAGACTGTACCTTATCTGACAGCCCCTGTGATGCCTGGACAGGAGAACAAGGAAAGGTGTAGCAATAAATGCCATGCTAATCATGAGATAATGCAAGGATGCTGTCCTCTGATCTCCAGAGAGAAGCATATTTTCTGCAAATTTCTCTGGGAACACTGTTCCATAGCTATAGATGAGCCAGGTTTTCAGCTATTCCTTTTCTGCCTAGTTTCTGTTGATTTGCAGTGCCCCAGAGCACATTCCACTGCCTCAATATCTGCCTCATAGACTGGACACAATCTGTTAGGACTCACTCTTAGTCCAGTCACCTCATGAATGTGAGAACCCCAGCTTGGCTCCTGGGATTACTGCTGCTCTGGATAGTAAGTAAAGGTAAGAAAAGGGAATTTATTCAGCCCAATGTAGTGAGAGTTTCATGCCCTTCAGGGGAATCTTCTTGGTTACTAAGATGGAAAATTGTGTTTATGTTTCCCATATCAGGTGCCAGATGTGCCATCCAGGTGACCTAGTCTCCATCTTACCTGTATGTCTCTCTGGACATAGAGCCCCCATCAACTGTCAGGATAGTTAGGGCACTAATAGGTACTTATATTCGTGCTAGCAGAAAGCAGGGATAGCTCTTAAGCTCCTGATCTATCCAACTTCTGATATGAAATTGAGAATCTCATCTAGGATCACTGGCAGTGGATTCAGGGTTGCATTACTCTCTTATCATCACCAGGCTGGAGCCTATAGATTTTGCAACTTTTTATTGTCAACATAGCAGAAGTTACCTTCTCATAGTCATACAAGCCATGATATGAACTTTTAGCGAAGCAGAACTGTGAGGCTGGGCTGACTCAGCTGCTTGTGCTGGTGCCTGCTCCTGGGGAGAACATTTCTAGAGTACAGCCAGGGGATGACAATCACTGGGTGGTTCTGATGAAGGTTTCCAGGGGAGTTCTCTGCCCTCTAATTCTCTTTGTACGCCTCCTGCGCAGCCCCAACAGAACAGACACAACAATGCTTCTCTGTATATAACAAAGGATAGACATTGTTAGATATGAAGAGTCTGTGTTAGGGTCACGCTTTTAATTGACACAGTAAAACAAAAGCCACTGTGGCCACTTAAAGCAGGGATAATTTTGATGCTGGTAAGTGAAATTTATACCATAGTCATTATAGGTGGCTTTAATTCATGATTTCATGGTTCTCTCCTTGCATCCACAGCTTATTTGCCCCTGAATATATAGACTGCTAACACTGTGGCCCTCAGTTAAGCCTGAAAAACCCAGAGTTTTGTAGTTACCATAATGTCAGATGTTGTTTAGTGGTGGCTGAGAATGGAAAAAGATGTTTGTTCATGCGAATTAGTACTATCTAAGAAGAGCAGTCATTGTGCATGAGGCAGGTAGCCTTAAATACAACTGTAAGAGAGAGAAAGAGAGAGAGAGACTTAATGCAGATAGAACAGAAGAGGAAGGTCATGTGAACACGAAGGATGGAAACAGAAGTGATGCAATCACAGTCCAGGAAAACTGCAGGCACTGAAAACTAAATAAAGGAAGACACTCCCTGAGAGCTTCTGAAGGTTCCTGGCTGCACGCTAATCTTGTCTCCTTGTAGCTGAATAGAATTCTCATCTTCATAACTGTAAGAGGTTACATTATTTTGTTTCAAACCACCAAGGTTTGGTAATTAGTTATCACGGTGCTCAAAAACTAACATGAACAACTCAAGAAAAATCCAAACTAAGGCTGCTTTTCTTGTTTGCAATCTTCATGCTCAACTTTCTACTCTTACCCATCAAAGGATTAAAAAAAAACACATGAAGCTCCATGGAATATATATTATATATTATACTGAGGCACCTGGTTGTTGTAGACTAAATATGATGACTTATGGTAAAAGAAAAATGACATCTAGATAATATATTGCATAGTATATTAACACCATGACATTACAGGTTGCATAATTAGTAGTAGTTATCTTGTATAAAACACTTATAATATATTCAGTATGTTGTGGTTAAATCCTCAGGTCATTGTTTGTAATATTGAGCAGTTCATTTCACAGAGAACAGAGATAATCACTGAGCATGCAAATAATTTGTGAAAAGTCACATGGTACATGTTAGAATGAATTTGAATCCACATCTTTCTGTAGTTATACATTTTGTTTCCCTTTGGCCATTTTCACCACAAAAATGAATCCATATCTTGTAAAGCAGAAAGAGAGACAATACAGAGTATATTATGAAATTCACAGCTCCTGTTGCTTGATAATGCTGTGATCCCAATCTGCATTCTTGGCCCTTTCTTTGGTTCCTCAATGAAACAAAAATTTCTTCAAGACTTCCTATTATTGATCTTAAATGTGAAGGCAGGGCATATTTCTTACATCTCCTCTTTCCTTCTCTATCACTATAACTCAATTGTTTTCTCATAATGTATCCTGCAAGTCCTACTGAAAAGTAAAAAGGGACAAACAAGAAGCAAACTAACCCCACTCCTTTCTATACAACTTCCATAGGAGCTGGCCCCAACTCCCACATATGCAGGTTCACAAGATAAAAAATTTTTCACCTAAGAACTTAGGTGCCAGCACTCCTTATCATAGAATACCGCATGTCACTTGTTCAAATTGGCATCAAGTAATAACCCTGTGGAAATATTTGGGAGAGCAGAGTGTGAGCCCCTGCTAGTCAGGAGAAGCCATTCTGTCTCTTTCTATGAGTGACTTATTGGTGCTTTAACAAACCACCAAAATATCACTGCCTTTAAGAACTGCAAATTGTTTAACTCAGTGTTCTGAATGTCTGAATTTTCACTGAGTTAAAATTCAGAATTCAGTAGGGCTATGTTTTTTCTGGAGACGTTAAAGGATCTTATTTTCTGCCTTCCACATCCCATTCACTCATTCCATGGTCATTCTGCTATCTCTTTCCATAGACATGGCCTCTCTCATTGTGACTCTTGTGGCCATTTGAATTTATGTCAGTCTGATCAGGTCTCCCACTCTCAAATTTCTTAAGTGAGAGAGCAACATTAACTACTATTTTCATTCAAGTTGTGTATTTGTCACTTAGTGGAATGATACTAAGCACTTATGTCTCATCCCGTCATACAATCTATCAAAGACCTAAATGTAAGACCTGATTCATTAAAACTACTAAAAGGAATCATAGAAGACACTGAAAGAGGCAATGATTCTCTGACTGAGACCCAGATAATTCATAAAACAGAAACCAGACCAGACAAATTATGTTGCTTCTCCACAGCTAAGGAAACACTGAGCAGAGAGAAGACACTGCATACAGAGCCGGTTTAGACCTTTGCCAGCCATTCATCTGAAGAGTAATAGCAGAGGAAACTCAAGAAGCTTAAAAAAGACCATATAAATTATTTTTAAAAGTTCAAATATTCTCAAGTGAAGATGTATAAGTGATTAGTACAATATGTGAAAAAATGTTCATATGTTTTGCCATCAGAAAAATGCAAATTAAAACAACTTTGAGACTTCAAACTACTCAGAATGGTTATAAAAGCAAAATAAATAAAGGTCAAAATAAAATAAAATTGCTTTTGAATTTAATGCATAAAAGAAATCTTTATAAAATATTTTGCTGATGTGAATTAGAAAGGATGCTATGGATGACAGTATAACAGCACCCCAAAAAACTGAAATTATAGCTACTATAAGATTCAGCTATGCCACTTCTAAGTGTATACCCAAAGAAAATGAAGACAGCACACAATATAGATGTTAACATGCTCATTTTATTGCTGCCATATTCATCAAACTCACTGCTAAGGAGTCAAACAGGTACAGGACAGAGGGTTGCACCCTGGAATAGCCCCTCACCTGCTAGACCAGCCTCTTCCCAGGATCCTCCAACATCATCTGCCCTCTAAATGGCTGCAGGGTCCAAAAGATCTGAACTGAATTCACCAGGGACGTGTTGGCAGGGGTTGCATCTCAGGGAAATTTCCCAGGTGACATGCTTTTATATGCTTTGTTGAAAAAAAAATTGAGTTTAAAGCATCTAGATTGCAGAACTCATGCTTAACTTGTTAGGGCTCTTATAATTGGATAAAAGAACAGATAATTTTGATGCATTTATCACGTCTGACACCACTGGTCAGCCTTCCATGCTGATGAAATTTGAGTACTACTGTCAGATAGAAGAAAGACAGAGTTAAAGACGGGACGGGATCCTCAAACAAATGATAATGGGCATCATTTTAGTCCAGTGGAATAACAGCGATCTGCACTTTTGAATAACATTAGATCTCTTAGGGAAAAACATTCAGTAAAGGAGTGCCTTGTTTTTCCTGGGCATCTGAAGTAGATTAGTTGACACTCAACAGAATGGTCCAAGGCTATTACAAAATGATTTTGAGTAAATCTAAGGTGGTGCTGGGACTTTGCTCATTTAAAAAAATCAGTTCTGTAGCCACAGATATGTCCTAAGTAGAGCATGTAATATCTTCCTGCCTCTAACAGAAACATTTGCTAGTAAGTTGAAAGTTTACTTGCCATGATTTTTTAAATATTGTTTCCAAAGTAAAGCATTCTAAAAAGTCTTTCTGTGTCTATGAAATTGTTTATGTATCTAAATCTAGATTCCTTGTGTGCTGTCACATTTCCCCACATATTCTCAGTAAAAAAACATTCCTTAGAAGAAATACATTTTGGAGGCAAATCTGTGGTCTCCTGGTGTGACACGGGACACCTGTGGATACTGGGTGAGTGATGAGTTACTGAGGTGTGACAGCACTACAGCTGTGTCCCACTCTGCCCAGCTCCTCATTTGCATGTCCCTAAAGCATAGACACTTAACAGGCTGTTCACACCCTGCACAGGACTCAGTCTGAGATTGGACACAGCATGGACATGAGGGCTCCTGCTCAGCTCCTAGGGCTCTTGCTGCTCTGCCTCCCAGGTAAAATAGGACAGTGACGTAGTACACATTCAAGTGTACACATTCAAGGCAAAAACTTTTCTAATATGATTAGTCTGATGGATTTTTGTTTTTATGTTTCCAATATCAGGTTTCAGATGTGACATTCAGATGACCCAGTCTCCATCTTCTCATTCTGCATCTGTAGGAGACGTTGTTACCATCAATTGCAAGGCCAGTCATAACATAGGCAGCTATTTAGCCTGGTATCAACAGAAACCAGGGAAAGAGCCTAAATTTCTGATATATTATGCATCTAGATTAACATCTGTGATCCCCTCCAGGTTCAGTGGCAGTGGATCTGGGACAGACTTCACTCTCACCATCAGCAGCCTGCAGCCTGAAGATGTTCTAACTTATTTCTGTCAGCAGCATAATAGTTACCCTCTCACAGTGATACAAGCCATAACAAAAACTACCCAGAGAAGCAGAAGTGTGAGGCTGGGCAGCCCCATTGCTCTTTCTGACACCTTTAGCTGTTGAGAGTGTTTCTGAGATGCAGCCATTCTTTGAGGAACACTGGGCACCATAACTCTTTTCCCTTTTACTCAGCCCCAGTCATGCATACATAATGATATTCTGATTTATCTTTTCTTTGTACTGGGGATCAAACTCATGACCTGGTACTTGCTGGGAAAGTGCTTCTACTACTGAGACAAACCCCCAACTTATTCTTCAGACTTGTAAAGGGCTCAGATCATTGCACTCAAAACAGTTATGTTTCAATAAGAGTGGGGCTTCTTACAGCAATAGACAAGTCACAGTGGGAATTTCCAAGTACACTTTAGGAGAGGGACCTGGTGTCTACTCTGTCATCCCTAACTGGCTAAGTGGGTCAGGCACTCTTATAATTTTGTTCCACAAATAGAATATTCTATGATGTTTTCCCAGAAGACTGATCATATCTATTACTGAAATTGCAGACCCTGAACCTTCTGGTCCTCAGACCTCTCTGGGAACCCCAGGTTTGGATACCAATGCTGACAGCTGCCCTGAAACAACAGGTGATTATCCACTCATCTCTCTGTGGTGCCTGCTACTATTAAATCCTCTTTTGCTGGTCTCTGAAATCATGCAGGACTCTCAGCAGAACAGTTTTGGACCATGAGGTCCTGTTAGGAATTTTAGTAATATCTCAGTTCACGAATGCTCCCATTTACAAACAATTCAGTTTGCAACAAAAGCATTTGGGAACATTTTGCTTCACTTTGCCAACTCTACATCAGAAGACAAACACAACCATAGCTATCTTCCTTTCACAAACACAAAAGCAAACAGCTTCCCCCAATTAGTAAAATGATTCACAAACCAACGCACCACCATTTATAAGAAATCATATAACAAGAAGAAATTCCTAGACATGAACTTCCCTACTTGATGGTGAGTTTGTATGTGTGTGTGTGTGTGTGTGTGTGTGTGTGTGTGTGTGTGTGGTACCAGGGATCAAACTCACAACTGCATGCTTTGAGGGCAAACAGTTATGCTGCTGAGCTAAATCCTTGACTCTGATAGTAAGCTTTTAAGGACACAGTGATCCAATGTTGTCACTCATGCTCTTCGATATCTCCTGGATATAGGTTGAAACTCAATCTGAGGAATGAGAGTTCAAGTATTATTGGCAAGTTTGGTATTTTATTTAAACACTTCATTGAAATACATTTTAAAGATGTAAGGAGAAATTACTAAAATCATTTAACACTGCTCTTAAGCAAATGGATAAATTTAATCAAAATTCATTAAACATGACATCTCCCTTTTCCTTAAGAAGCAAAGGACAGCTATTCAATTTCAATACAGAACACAGAAGTGTCATTTACATTTCAGCTTAAATTGCAAGACAGCAGCCTGTAGTTGACATCTACTGACCAGTGCTGGCATTAAAAAAGGCTCTGAACATGCTTAGGAAGCTCTGTTTAAAGGAGCACTAACCCTATACATACTAGGCATAATATTAATCAGTTAAGGATTTTTCCTTATTTCTAAACTAAGGTAAGCCAAGAAATTTAGTATTCATGAAAATATAGAAAAGTCTTTAAAACATCTCATTGACTAAGAATGATGAAACCAAATCTATAGGTATGTCCATAGTTTGGATAACTGAGCTCCCACAGTGAGTCCTCTTCATAGACACGTTCCACAGTGAATGGAAAGGGCTAAAGAGAGAGGCAGAGGCAGGAACAGTGTTCACTCTCCACATTAGGGATCTATTGCCTGAGTACCCCACTGCTTACTTCTGTCTCCAAACACTGAGGATACCACCCACAGTAGTTGAGTCCCAAACAATAACCTCCCATGAGGTAGCTGCAGAACCCTGCACTCCAATATGCCTGTTCTCAGGGGCTGATCTGAACCGAAACAGTTGGACACAGTCAGGAAATAGCCAGGAAGGCACAGCTCCAGGGAACTTAACACAGACTGCGTGCACCCCTTTCTTCTGCACTGCTCCCTCCTGTGTCTTAAGTCATAAAAGGTACTTCAAAGACATAGGCCCAACTACTCAATCAATACATACACACATACATACATACAAATCAGTATTAATTCCTTCCTCTATCTTTGCTGGTTCACATGTCTCTTTTTTGAATTTCCTCCAGTCATTTGGACATCTCCTTCATCTTTCCAGGTGCTTTGCTTTCTTTCTTCTCAGTCCCTAGCTTTAGGTAGATGCAGGGCATTTGCAGCAGTGGCCCAGTCAGCCTCAGCTTCACTTCCTATTTGCCCCTGGGTGAGAAGAGGCTAACGGGCTCCTGCCCTGACAGGTTGTCTAACTTTCCCTTTGCTTGGTGATGCTGAACTTCACCTTGTGATTCCTGGCTGTCATCTTGCCTCCATCACTCTGTCACTTTGGGGTCTTCCCCTGGTGGGATGCTGAGTCCCTTATTTTCAGTACTTTTTCTTCATAGCTAAGCCTGCTTCAGTCAGGAATCTGTTCTCCAGCCAGGGTGTTAGCATTTTCTCATTCCTGGAAAAAAAAAAGCTAAAGAAATGCTTTAAAAGATTCAGTAGGATGAACAGACATGAAAGAAATAATTTTCAGGTAGAAGTAAAATGACCACCAGTGGCCCACTGGACATGATTTATGTGTAGGGAGGATGATGAGGTAAGAAATTAGGAAACGCTATGTAATTTAATTAACTATCTTTAATATGCTTTAAATTGACTGATAATATCAACACATGATTCCATTATAATGAAACAGAATATGTCATTGATGTTCATAACAGGCATTGCTTCAAAGTCAGTCATGGGGAATTGAGTCTATACTATAGCTATTAATTGACCTAGGGATTCTGATAGTCAGGGAAGTTATTATTAGATAAAGGTTTTTATTAGTCTATTGCTTATTGACCAATATTCAGGAACAGTTTAGCAATACTGATTATACTGGGTTGTCTGTTCTCATTTTCCCAACATGACCATCTGTGGGGAAGTGAATTTTTCGGAACAATACACACTTCTATGTTTCCCTAAAAAATTCATCAAACCTGTTCTCTCCTGAGATTTGGAATTCAGTAAAGGAGAATCCAACACTACACCTACAAGGAGACTGAGAGAGCGGTGACTAACAGAAAAACAAAAGAAAGATACTGCAAGCAGTTAAAAGCATTAGAACCACAACTCTGGGTTTTCAGGAATTTTGAGGGCCATGAGTAAGAACTGTATACTTTACAGCAGAGGTCCTATGAGAGAGCATTGGAGAATCAGTTTCCAGTATGACTTTCTCTATCAGAATCCCTAAGTCAATTAAAGCATATAGTTTAGAATCAGATTTCCTATGCCTGCCTCCAACAGCGTCTGGTAAGAATGCCTATGGCTTTTTCTGTATGGCTGTAAGTTCCATGTGATGCAACAACCAGTATTCTCCAAATATGACTTTTTTTTTTTTAATGAAACATAGAAAAGCATTGTCAGGTCTGTGATGCCGAGAGTGAGCAGAAAAGTCTTAGGATACAGATGAGACCCAACTGCTTCTGCTAAGAAGATGTTTTAGTGATCATCAAAACATCATTTTATTTGAGAAGCTCTCTCATCAGCAGGCGAAGACACCAGAGGAACAGCAGTGGCAAACCAGTATGCCCATTGGCTTTTCTGGCTGGTTTATGTTATGGCTTGTATTGCTGTGGGACGATGCTCAATAGTACTGCTAACAGTAATAAGTTGCAAAGTCTTCAGGCTGCAGGCTGCTGAGGTAAGAGTGAAATCTGTCCCAGATCCACCACGGCCAAATGTTAACCCTAACCCTAACCCAAACCCTAACCCTAACCCTAACCCTAAACCTAACCTTAACCCTAACCCAAATTTTCTACAGCATAGATCATCAGTTTAGGAGCTTTTCAAGGTTTCTGTTGATACTAGTGTAAAACAATATTAAAACCCTTACTCCATTCCTCCATGGTCAGTGGTCACATGTTTAAAGCCTGTGTACAAAGATTCTGCACATCATCTTGGGGGCTTGAGCTTCAAATGAACTTGCTCGCCCCTGATCTGTGAGAATTGGTTTGAGCACTCTGCATCCAGGGTATGCATCCTCCCTCTGGGCAGAAGCACCAGTCATTTTTGCCCCCCCTAGTCTCCAGTCTCACTGAGCTGCTGGTGATGCTTCTGGCCATACAGCCTCTTCATAATGCTCTTTGAAGTTAGGGTGGGCCTTTTTTGTCCCAATACAAACAGCAGATCACAGACTGTAGCATGTGTGATCTCAGCACAGTGACAATGCATGATTATAATAAGAGGTGAACACACCCCATCGTTCCTTGACAGGAACTGAAATATCTTCACAAAATTTTTTGTTTCCAAATTTGCTTCAGCTCCAATCCTCATCTTTGGTAGCTGGTATGATGACAGGGTCCCTAGTATCCATCTTCCCTTCCTGTGTCAATTTTTCCTCTTCCCTTTCACAAATTTCTGCATGTAGGGACTGTGCTGTCTGTCTGATAAGTCCTAGTGCTGAGAGAACTGACTTAAGAAAATAGACAAACCCTTATTCTTGGATGCTGTCTGTGCTCTGAAATCTTGTCAGTTCTAGTATGTCTATGAGTAAGTTGATTGAGAAAATTCATAAACCATGTATGTTTCCTTTACTATTCTTTCATTTATGGAAGTGAAGCATAATTTCTATCTCAGGGTCACAGTGTTACAGGCTCTTAATAAATAGGTATACAGTGTAAAATTTACATTTAGAATACAAGATGAGCCTCTGTTACATCTTCAGATGTTCTGCATAGAGATCTCCCATATCTCCAAGCTGCTCTATTTCATAATCTTCTTGAATTATTATTATTATTATTTTCGCTTCATTGAAGGGCAGTACTCTTAGTATTATTGAGAAGTGAAAGGTCCCCCTAATTGTCACTTGTTCTCTGGTGGGCACTTGGCTGTTTATTCTATCATAAGTATTTGCTGTACTCCGCAGTGGATTCAACCTTTTTGTGTTCAGAAGCAAAATGGACTGTTGGGCTGTTAGGCCTTCCTGGAAGAGGGTC